TAGATCAATGGATGTTTCACATAAATCTATGTATGCAGATGCAGATTAATGGGTGTTAAACATAAATCTATGTATGCAGATTAATGGATGTTTCACATAAATCTATGTATGCAGATTAATGGATGTTTCACATAAATCCATGTATGCAGATTAATGGATGTTTCACACAAATCCATGTATGCAGATTAATGGATGTTTCACATAAATCTATGTATGCAGAACTGATTAATGAATGTTTCACATAAATCCATGTATGCAGATTAATGGATGTTTCACATAAATCTATGTATGCAGATTAATGGATGTTTCACATAAATCTATGTATGCAGATTAATAGATGTTTCGCATAAATCTATGTATGCAGATTAATGAATGTTTCACGTAAATCTATGTATGCAGATTAATGGATGTTTCACATGGTGTTATGTCTGTAGTTTTGATGTATGTTTCAAGGATGTTATCTAGGTCAGTCCATTGAAAATATGTTCTTTGTTTTCTTACAGCAGCTTGCAATTTCCTAGAAGGCTCAACTCAGCACGAGTGAAGGAAGAGTAAGTACATGTATTTACAATAGTTACTATTGACAAATGGAGAAATATGAAACCATAGTCGGTATGGAGAATCCAAACAATGTCCATGAGATTCTCCCATTGAACTTAGTGTCACTGACTTCATGTACCCATCATACCCAATGTCAATGTTTGCACTTATGAGAAACCACTGGCAGCGACTTCATGAACCCATGTGAAACCCAGTATCAGTGACTTGACTTATCAGAACCTAATATGAGTGACATCATATATCAGAACCCAGTGTGAGTGACTTAACTGAACCTTACTATGTACCTGCATTCCATCAGTCACATGTGTTTGTATTTTTAGAGAGGAAGAATTGAAATATTTAGAGTTTGTATCAGATGTGACAAATGATGTGTTAAACAGAGGGATATATTCCAATCGAGTACTCAAACAAATATTTGATAAACATGTAGAGAGAAAAAGAGGACAACTGGATGAGGTAAGTTGATTCTACTACAAAAACAGCTTTTAGTAAGTTGCAGTGGATTTCACTACAAACATATAGCATTTAGTAAATTACAGATGATTTGACCATAATACAATATTCCAAACTGTTTGTTATATTTTGTTTTATTTCTATATTTCAGCGTCGTATGCTTCGACTAATGGATCAACTCCGACAAGATTTGGGAATCCCCATCCATGAGGACTGATTGCTGACTATCAAACTATTTGCCTTGCATAGCTTCGGATATTTATCTGGGTTTAGCTGCTTGATGCTCTATTTGAATTAACTTTAAAAAAATTTCAGAAACGTGCCACATTCCACTTCAAGTTTATTTACAGTCTCCAACTGATCACAAACTACTCTGAGCTGATTGGTGCTTATTGAGAGTTCAATCACTCATGCTGACAAGGTCTATGCACTTCCAGTCATACTGCATTCAAATTGACATACAGATGATGCATGGTAGACATGTGTATCTATATATACGTGAGCCTTCTCATTTGTGATTGACTGGCTCTCGTTCAGTTCCTGTGAGCTGCCAATACTGGGTGGGTATATATGTTAGCTCATACAGATCGGTTCACATTATGGTACTGTTTTTACTGTTACTACAACAGCATGTAATACCAGTTGTGATCACAGGTAATGTCACCTTGATGTACCAGCAGTCTTTTTAGTTGTGTAACGACTAGGTTTTATCAAAGTGGAGAAGTGTCAATTCCGTCCTCTACTTAATGACTCTATGTTTCCTGTCCTCTACAGCTTTATCACAACATCCCCCATAGCATGTTTTACATCTTTATATTTACAGAAACATTGTACTAGTAAATAATTAAGTAAAATTTTTACTCCAATGGTTCATACAGCTGAACACTTTATTGTATATGCATATCATCTTGTGTAGAATAGAATAAAATAGAATAGAATAAATAGAATAGAAGACCATAGAATAGAAAATTCCTTTATTAGCATCTTAATATGACATGGCTTTTTAAGTTCAAAAAGTATAATAGAGCTTGCATGTCTTAAAATAACAAATACTACTTATATTGTATTTTTTAAAAAGATTCTCCGAAATTGTAACTTTATTTTGAATTGATAGACTGATAAATCCCTCATTCTTTAGTTGTTTGAAATAAGAAAGTATATTGAGTAAAATGAAATGTATCTTTTGTCATCTATGTAAAGTAAAGTTTATTTCATCTGGATCTGGTGCTCTCATCTTTTTATCTACCTTGAACACAAGTATAAAGCAGGTTATTCTATTGTCAAGATAGGAGGAATTAACATAGACAAGATTTGTGCGCAGAAGGGAGAAGATATGTTTATTGATGGCTCAACATTTTCCACATCTCATTAATATTAATTATGGATTGGTCAATTTGAATTCTATCATTCATTTTGATTCATAACAATATTTATAAAATAATTATAACAACCTTGTTGTTGTTCTTAATGTTATAAAGTGTGTGTCAATGAGTGCATCACTGTATACAGAGGAAACCATGCAGTGAAGTTATAGCCTGTGTGTGTGTGATTGCACTCTGAACATGTAACTGATAAATAAAATGTAGATGTCAACTTTTACTAAACTTGTCTGCAGAACTCAGTTGAAGGCACTTTGAGTAACTTGGCCAAAAATCGAATCTGAAAATTTGGCGTTCCCGGGTTATATACTGATCAATAGCTGGCATATTGTTTTGTTTATCGATTAATTTATTTAGTATCCCATCGTACATTCCTGTTGCGCACTAAACACAGCTAGCCTAGAAGTGCATATGTTTATGATCAAAGTCTGCTCTGACACCGTGGTATATCTTGCGAGTACCTTTTACTTGACACATCAATTGCTTCAAACCAAATTTT